CAATTTTATTCCAAACTTTTTACATAATATTCCCGAGGAGCATATAGTTTGATGCTGCTTCCCCTTGTAACCCATACCAGTTGACAATCTCAAATCCAGCATACAAGAATGCCTTGGTAACCGTAATCATTTGCTCATTTGTCGAAAATGCCTTCTTTGGAATGCAGAATACAATCCTTGCTGGTGATCCTGGATATCCTTCATAGTAATCATCAAAGAAATCCAAAATCCCAACCACAATCTTCTTGAATTGATAATTGTGTACTTTTGCAATATCACTGGGGACGGTCAAGTACACAGTAATACCACTACCACTGCCGCTTGGTTGTCTGAATGAAAAGCCCTTGAAAATCAACTCTTCATCAAACAGCGGCAACTTGAAAGCAAAAGACACAGACATTTCAACATACGACGGCAATTGTGACAAATTACGGTAACCATACAAAGACAAGAAGAGCACAATGGCATTCTTGACCAGCTGATCAGATTCGTCCTCGGGTAAAGTTTCCAAAGGGACGCTACCCCAACCACCCAATTTTGGCGCAAGTAGAGAAAAGATACTTCTCCTTCTTCATAAGGCTGCTTGTTAACAATGTACACACAGCTTCTAAATCATCGCTTGACTTATGGCGCTTGCTAAGGACAGAAGAGCGTTGGTACATGTCGAACATCCCTTCCTTCTGGGCCTTCAACTGTCTAGCTGCTGCACTACTTGAGCCGCCAGCGCCGTTGTTGCCAGTGATGAATTTGGTCTTGATCATTTTCTTCCTTCTTTTCTTGCTACTGCTTCTGTTTGGTGGGAATGAGTTGGAGTTGAATAGAATTAGCACGAGATCTGTATTGGCCAGCTTTGCTTCTTTTAGACTTTGTTACTTCTCTTTCCTACAGAGAAAGTTTAGAATTAGTAAATTGACGTCATAGCGAGCAAAGGAAAGTTACTTGGAAAGTTAATTTGCTTTTGCTTTTGTTCTTCTTGTTAACTGTTAAGAAGATGGAGCAATCGGCTAGTTTTGTGATTGTGAAGAATCGATCGTTTGCTTAGGAAAGTTATTCTGATATTGCAAAGATGAAGAATACTTATCAGACCAGATCATTCTCGTTATCTCTATTCTCTGCATCAAACTGTCAAGTATTCGTTGTAGGTGCACTAATTCTCACTGTGATCATACACTTGAGCATGTTCATGTTATCAATGAGCGATGGCTCCATAGAGTATATTGACACAGATCGAGATTATTTTAAGGATGATATGTTTCGGTCATTGACTTCTGATACTAATCCATGGGATCCTCCTATCGAAATGATATGGTACGAAGGGTCTAATCGGAACAATGGCATATTTAATCCAACAGTTATAGCATTGCCATCCTCTTCAAAGTACCGCTATCTCGCAGCTGCTAGGACAGCTCCTTATGCTCTCAATAGGTCCGATTTCAGTACGATTCTCTATGTTTCAAACATTATATTATGTTACATGGAATTGATAGAAGGGCCAAAGAGGATGTTTCAATGCGTAGATGAACCAAAAAGTCTAAATATTGATATACCATTTGATCATCTAAAGGAAAAGCTTCACGGTGTTAGAGATGAATTTCATTGGGATCGCTTCGTTGGTCCTGAAGATCCAAGATTAGTATGGGATCCTCATGGTTCGCCGTTACTTCTTTACGGAATGAACTCAAAAGTTAAAACTCGACACAGGACAATGTGGATCACGGATGTTCGTACTGTGTTGAAGAATGTGACGGATATGTGGAATGAAGAGTGCCGCGGTAAACCAGAGGTTGTGTACAAGCAATTCGAGCTTGGAAGTAATATACCAGATCAAAACAAGTTGATCAATGCTCTGGAAAAGAATTGGGCTACAATGATTGTCCCAGAAGAAAAGAGCATATTGTTTCATGCTAATTTAGAACCACGGTTGATATTTAAACATAATCGTACAAACGGCAGTAACGAGGATTTGAAATTGGAACTGTTGCAAGGATACGACTCAACTTTGCTGATGAACTGCTTTAACAGACTTTTCGATTCTCCACAAAAGAAAGATGGACATGTGCTACATCAAGCAACAAATATGTTGAGGATAGTTGCGTGTTATTATAATGAGTGTAAACCAAGCTACAAGAATACTTACTACTTTCAACTTTTTCACATAAAGAACTATGCGACTTATCATTATGATCGATACATAGTAATATGGAATACAACGGCACCACAGTTTAATTTTCAAGGGATTATAGGACCATTGGAGCTTCCCGGTCTTGAAGACAAAAAGTCACATTTTGTGGTTTCCATGAACTTTATTCCAACAGATTACCAAGATCGACGATGTGGACGTGATATGGATTTAGGCTTTTTAGATTCTAAATTAGTTCTTGGAATTGGGGTTGAGGACTGGAATGCTAGAAGTTTTATAATAAGTGCACAAGATCTGTTAAGCGGTCAAAAGGCCTGTAGTTGATCATGCTGTTTCAAATAGAGAGCAACGTTTCACAAGTACTGATTCGTTTCTTTGCTATGTTCAACACAACTTCCCTAGTACGAAAACTCGCGATAATATCTTTATCGGCATACCTGCTTTGCGTTTTAGTATGGATGCTTATTCCGGAGGCAAATGCCGAAAACGAGCTGAAACACAATGTGATCAATCCGTTCTTGCCTGCAATGCCTGTGAAGATGTTTTCGAATGCTGGTTTCAACAAAGGCGTGTCACATATATCTGTGTTACCACTGCCTTCTTACGCGTCTTACAGGTTCTTAGGTGTCGCTAGCTTACCTCGAAAAAAGATGATGCAATACAGTCATGAAGTCTCAGAAACAGGAACTATAATGTGCTTCATGCAAGTTTATCAAGTATCGCCATCTGAGCAGGAGCTTAGGTGCGTTGGTAAGCCTGTTCTGTTGAAGTTTGATATTCCTCTGAAAGAAACTATGGAAAGGTTAGATCGCGAATCTTTTGATAATTACACATCTGGACTGTTTTCATACAACACTATAATAGGAGCAGATAGTCCTAAGCTTGTATGGAGTGACTATGGCTATCCTTTGCTTATGTATTCAATGAACTCAAAAGTGAAACAGAGGCAAAGGACACAATGGTTATCCGATGTTCGAAATGTGCTTCCGGCGTTGGGTTTATTATGGAATCCTACTGAATGCGAAGAGCCCATCCAAGTGTTTGATCAATACGAACTGGGCGAGTATATCGACGGCGACTCGAGGGAAATGCACGCTTTGGAATTGAACTGGGCTCATATGATTACCAAGGAAGGAATGCTCTTCCAGAAAGGAATCGCTCCTAGAAGTATGCTCCGAGTTGGAGATGAACTAGTCACTAACTTGGACCATAATCGATTACTGAGATGTCTTAAGAATAATTATGGCGCACCACATATCAAACTCAACCACGCACTACATCAAGGCTCGAACATGTTGAGATTCCGTAATTGCAGGCATGGCTCATGTGATATTGCCAAGTCAGCTACTTATTACTTCCAAATCATTCACATCAAAGATTACACCAACAACAATTATGAGCGTTATGGTGTAGTTTGGAATTCAGAAGACCAGAAATATTCCCTAAACAGCATGGTTGGTCCATTATTATTTCCCGGGTTAGATCAAGCAAAGAAACAGTTTGTTATTTCTATGAACTTTATCAGCAGCACAGAAATTGAAGGAACTTGTGGCACAAAAATGGATTACGGATACTTGGACTCGCAAATTGTTCTATCTCTGGATACTGCTGATGGAAATTACATTCAGATAACCTCACCAGAAATGTTACTATCAAACAGGCAAGCATGCTAAGACCTCTTTGATGGATTAAATATTTATTATTACAAGCTTTCTTCTTTACAGAAATGCTGTGAGCTCAAAATGTCTTGTGGAGTCAGAATAAATGCTTTCCCTCGACTATCCTCATCTCCAACTGACAACACAAGCTTTGAATCTAAATAACCATGATCCATTCTTTTACCACAAGACTCCACATGAGACTCTTCAGGTACGTAATTCATAGAGACAATAAAGTGAGACTTCTCTGCGTCCATACCAGGCATTTCAAAAGGTCCAACAACAGAGTGAAACTTGTACTCAGGACCAGTAATATTCCATAATGCAATGTATCGACTGTAATGATAGCCAACATAATTCTTAACATGAAATATTTGATAGTAGAATGTGTTGCTGTTGTCTGGTACGCATTCTCCGTAGAAACAAGTGGTGATTCTCAACATATTAGTTGCTTGATGAAGAGCATGATGATCCTTCTTGTGAGGCGACTCGTACAATTTGTTAAAGCACTTCATCAGACGGTCTGTATCATAACCTTTTAAGTGATCTAGTTGTATTTCGCCATCGTTAACTGTTGGCTCGAAGATAAGTCTTGGATCCAAGTTTGCGTGCAATAGAAATTTATCATCAGTAAGCATTGGAGCCCAGTTCTTCTCTAAATCGTGGACTAAGTTGGCATCATCTGGAACAGTAAAACCAGCTTCCATCCTATTAAATACAGGCTCAGACTTCTGCGCCAAACATTGCTGAGACCAAATCTTTGTAACTTCCGGGAACACGTAACGGACATCTGACATCCAAATAGTTCTATGGCGTGTTTTTGCTTTTGAGTTCATACCATATAGAATGTATGGCATTCCCTCCTCATTCCAAGCAAGACGAGGATCCTCAGCGCCAATGAACTTGCTCCAGCTGAAGTCGTCCTTTGACACACCCTTGAGTCTTTCTAGTATTTCAG